CGGTGGTTCGAATCCCTGCGACAGGGTGAGCTCCCGTTGCTCGGTCCCTGCTCCTGCCAACCTAGCAGTTAGAAAGCACGTCAAAGTGCAAGTAGATAAATAGGTACCGCTCCGGCGGGAAGGTAAACGGCATTTCCGTGTGCTGCTCTGGTTCGCCAGAAGCGGCTTAGTCATGCTGGCCACATGACCCGGAAGCTGTACGCCAGCTCCCTCGGCCAATAAAGCGAGATGAGCGCCGCAACCCCAGAGTCAGCCACGACTGGACCTAATGGCCAAGGGTCCCTTTACCTTTACCTTTATACTGTAAACCACCCTGTGATTTTCAGATGAAGGGTGGTATATAAATTTAATAAATAATAAAATAATAAATAACACAAATGTAGAGGAAACAGGAAGTGCAGAAATTGAGACAAACGGGAGGAAGAAGTCACTGTCACTTCTTATTTTGGTGTCAAAGTCATGCCTGTTTAGGGAAGTTTTTAATGACTGGTTTTTTAAATGTATTTTTAATCTTTTGTTGGAAGCCACCCAGAGTGGGCGGGGTAGAAATCATAAATTATTTATTTATTAATTATTATTATTATTATTATGCGGCTATAAAGTAAGACTTTCTTGTCTGTATTGGGGTTAGGCAACAGATTATTTTTCCTCAATATATATATTGTGTAAAATTATCTTAAGGAAGTATTGATAACCCCTCAAGCATTTCATGAATATGGACCGTCACCTAATCGTCAATGGCAACATGCACTAAAATAACTCAGCAATTCTGAGCAACCACCAGATTTCTCACAGGATTATCAACATTCCCTCCATACTTCAAGCATCAACTATTAACACAGTATTTTATATTTGCATTTTTAAACATACCGTCTGCACTGAGGGCTTGGGGCTATTAAAATAAACAAAACGGTTTGTTTGGAGGCTGTCAGCCACAGCTTCATAATGTATTCCTTGCCGTTGCAATGCTGTCAGTGTCGCAGAGCTAGTAGAAGGCATTGAGGTAGCTATGCTCCTTAATGCTTAATTCTTCAAGCACATGCTTCCAGGGCAGTGCTCCTTTATCTCAGGCACACATAGTATGGATTTTCTTCTGAAAGTGGGGAGGTCTAGGGATGGCACATGTGAAAAATGAACGCACTTTTCCTGTCCTCAGCATGAGTAATGCTGACACTTAGACCAGCTGCAATAGGTTACTTCATCACTTAACTTCATCTAAAAAAAGAAGCTCCTGAAAATCAGTGCACAAGCAATACATATGGCACTGAGCCAACGTTTATCCAGGAAGCCAATTCAGATTATTACTATGTCACCATCACACAATGTCGCTCATTCAAGTGTGATGTGCCCCTGCAGAAAAAAAATCCAAGTTGCCTCTGAGATACGGAGCAGTGCAATAAAACTATGGAGAAGCTGAGGAGGGATTGATGTGATTATGTTTCATCTCTTCCCTCCTACAGAGGTTCAGATTTCCAAAGGTTACAAGTTCAAGTAAACAAACTCTGAAGGGGAAGCTTTCGTCTGTTTCTTTCTTTAAACACAACCAGCATAGATGTAACTCACTTATTTTGCATTATTTCAAGGGTTTATCACAGTTTGCAAACCTTACAGAAATTGAAACACACCAATTCTGTGGCACTACAGGGGAAAAAATCTTAAAATATAAAAATTAAATTAGAAGGATTACAGGACTGGTTGGATACAGTAAGTTAACAACTTTGTAAGTTATGACTTATTCATAAGGGCATGTTTAGGTCTGTCTAATGGTGCACCAATGGAAAGATTAATGGATGGGAGATTACAGTCAAAATTGTTTTCCTAGTTGTGTTGACCCAAATTTTGAGTGAGTTGACTAATTCAATTGCGTTCTTATCTTTTCCAGTATTTGACAAACAGAGAATGTCATTTTTGAATGTCTCTTTTTCTGACAGTGTGACAAGGATATTTCATGAACTACCATAAAGTTCAAAGAAGTTTATCCTCCATGCTAATCCATTTTAGAAAATTGGAAGTGCTTCATTTTTATTAGCATCAAGGTATATTTACATTGTTTCCCAAAATATGTGCATTTATACACACATTTCCCTCTAATATAATGTGGGTAACTCAACAAAGATTTTATGTTTGTTGCAAATTTGAAGCTTGCCAGGTATTAATCAGGACGCTGAGCAAATTTATCCTCATCTCATGCCTGTGACCAGGCCTCCCCAGTACAAGTCTGCTGTGTTACATTCCTTCTCTCTGTTGACCTGACAGAGGTATCTTTGCAGCTCACTGTCAACATCGCAATCAGAATTGTCCTTCGCTCATTTACAGATGTTCAACAACCTTGGGAAAATACCATGTTTAAAAGGACTTTGGGGTTTTAAAATGTACCTTATGATTAAGCATTGCTGTATGCTTCAGCGTCAAAAGGGCGATCAGTCCATACAAGGAATCACACACAACGTCTATGCTAACTTTTTAAACTGTTCTATTAAGTCTTATTAAAATGTCAAAAACATGAATTATAACTTTATGGCTAAGCTTGTTAACCTCAAGGGGTAATGTGATCCTACTGTAAATCAGTTCTGGGGAATAACAAATTCTAGAAATGGCAAGGGCAGAAGAGAGAGACAGGGAGAGAGAAGGCAGGATGCTTCTGCTCTCTGTGAATTTTACACGTTAGCTGCAGGCTCGATTTTCCTGTCCCTGACATAGATATGAATAGGAAGTTGCATTAATGACTGAAGAATGCATCTTAAATGCAGGAGCCCACGCTGGCCTTGATACTGAATCTTAAACTTGAGTTTGGCATATTTTGATTACCCACATGAGACACTATAAAGTCCCTGGTTCTTAGGAGGCAATACACATATTTCCAAATTTTACAGGGCTGGAGGAAGAACAAATATTTAAACAAGAAGAACATTTGGGACCATTTGGGGGCAGCCTGACTATTGGCTACACAGACAGTTTTGCCTCAGACAATGTAGTGTTCCTGGTACAGCAATACAGTCCCCAGGGTTCCTGCAGGGCTTTCTGGTGGCAGCTAGCCGGAATGCCTCTCTCCTCTGCGAGGGATTCAATGCTTGCATGCCCTGCTGTCTGCAAGGTGCATAGTGCCTACTCTAGAAAGCCTCTAGAGAGACCGTTTCCTCGTGCCAGTGTGGTGTAGTGGTTAAGAGTGGTAGACTCGTAATCTGGGGAACCGGGTTCACGTCTCCGCTCCTCCACATGCAGCTGCTGGGTGACCTTGGGCTAGTCACACTTCTCTGAAGTCTCTCAGCCCCACTCACCTCACAGAGTGTTTGTTGTGGGGGAGGAAGGGAAAGGAGAATGTTAGCCGCTTTGAGACCCCTGAAGGGGAGTGAAAGGTGGG